TATCACATAATTTCTGTTCTACAGTGAGATGTAATTTAAATTGCAAAAAAAAAAAAAAAAACTTTCATTAAAATTAAATATTCCCTAGGTTTTACCTTGCAAATATGTAAGATATAAAACTCCAAAAATGATCGCCGGTCTGTCCTTCATTAACAAAAAGGGAGTAATTTTCATTGGTGACCACTATATTTTCAACTTTTAACCCTTGGGTCATTAAAATCTTAAAACATTATCCTAAGTTCTAACAATTAGGTCATTAGAATTCCATTCTTACTAAGATATTAACACCATGCTAAACCATTAAAAAAAAAAAAACAAAAAAACAAAACACCACACTACAGTGTAGGGGTGAGCACATCTCAGAAATTATCAAACCATCCAACTTTAAGACTTAAATTTTTGAATTTTGGTTCGGTTATTTTAGATATTTGAATAAAACCAAAATGATCAAAATTAATTTTGGTTTGGATATGGTTATTGACCCATATCCGAAATTACTGATATGAGTCACAAAACTATTTGAAATTGTCCACAATTTTTTAGTATAAATTTATTTTATTTTTTTATTTTAGTTTTTATGCTATATAAAAATTTTTTGGACAAAATTCTTTCTTTTAGTCAAATTTATATAGACGAATATGTTTTTGTGCTATATAAAATTTTTTTGGACAAAATTCTTTTTTTAGTCAAATTTATATATAGGAAAATGAAGAAAAAGACTAGAAATAATCAAAATTAAAGAAAAAAAAAAGCTTTTAATGACAAAAGGTGAAGAATAATGGTATATTTTGATTATTTTGGTTAATTAACCAAATTATTTAAATAATTTTAGATAACTAAAATTATAACTAAATTGAAATTTTGGTTCAAATTGGGTATAAAAGTTTTATCCAAAATTATTTTAGATAACTAAAAAATTGGTTCAGTTTGGACCAAGGTTTTGAAAATTGGACCGGATCGGCCGGTCGAACCAATTGAACCGGTAATCAATAGTATAAATGGTTCGGTTTTATCTTTTAAACCGTTTGAAAACCGGTAAGAACCATTGGAACCGCTCAAACCGGAAAACCGTTCGACCAGACGGTTCAATGCTTGAGAATAAAAACTTGAGAAATTTGTCCCCCATGAAGCTTGACCTTGCAACCTTGAAGTCCTTTTAATTTATTCCAACTCTTTGCCATCAGGACAATGCACTCCCTTTGTCAATGGATGCTTGAAATTTTATTTAATCTATCTCTAAAACCATAATTATTTAAAATTTGTTCATAAAGGTACTTGAACCTGTGATCTTTGATATGAGAAAACAACCACCTACCATCGCACTCAATGGACATCTTGTGAAATACTTTACAAAATAATATATTTATACTATACGAAAGAACCGACGGTTTTACCGATTAAACCAATTAAATCGGTCAAATCATAAACCGAAGATCAAAACGGTTTGACCTCTGGTTCGGGTTTAAAAACATTGGTTTGGACAATCCAAATCGAATGCCCAGCCCTACAGTGATTCATTTATTATGTTTTAAAGGTATGTAACCGAAATATTATAAATAGAAAACTTTAGTGACCTATAGGTAGGGGTGGGCAAAACCGGTTTCGGTTCAAAACTGAAACCGATTTTAAATTAATCGAAAAAATTTGGTTTTAATTTTACAAACTGAAACCGAACCGAAATTGTTATAAGCTAATCGGTTTGGTTACTAATTTTTATCAATGAATTCGGTTTGGTTT